GGGGTGGAGGAGGGGGGGGGGGGGGGGGGGGGGGGCTCCGTGTTGCGTTCGAATCAATGAACAAGTGACGGTGCGCGAACTTCCGAATTTTATTTTACTACATTACAGTGATAATTTGAAGAAAAACGCTATTTATCCTAATTTCAGAATGTCCGAAGAATATTTACTAATTTTTCGAATCCGAAATAATAAGTAATTTAACCGTGACGACCGTTTTAATTTTCTAGTGTGCACGACATCTCGTGTGTACCGTATGAAAATTTTAAGCTGGGTGTACAGTGAAGATTAATACATAACTCGTTAACGGTGCCTCGGAGAATGTTTTTGTGAAGGAAGAAGTTGCTTCAAATGACCCGAGGAACTCGCCACTTTCGGATTGCGAGACATTTTTGGGACACCCTGTTATATATACGTATATGTATGTGGTGGTTCGTAGAGTAAAAATTCAAATTCTTCGAATAATTTCGTAGTTCTCGATGAGCCGTGTCGATTTCTTGGTTTATCGTTTCCGCGACATTTTTTTGTGCTACCTTATTTATTATATATATATTATTTATTATATATATATATATATATATATATATTAAAATATTTGCCAATAGAGACTAATCACCGAAGTTTTCTCGACGCTGATTTGCCCCTTTCGCAAATACTCTCGCATCGAACAATATCATTTGAAATGATCGATTTGCCGTTCGCGCGAGAACTCTCGACTTTCCGCTCTATTTGGCTGGAAGCGGACAGTCAGAATCTAGGCTGTCGAAACATAAAACGAATCGTTTTTTTCAGATCTTAACACTGAGACTGGTGGACATGTCTGTCTACAATATAGTTATGGTGTTGTCGTACGGATGTCCGATGTTATTATATTTTTTACGATACATGGGCTTCGTCGTGAATTTTCCAATAGTAAGTTCAAAAAGAAACCAAAGAACCGTCATTACGATTTCGGCGACATCGGATGGAGGAACGATCAAGTAATTAACATATTCGTCAACGGATGCTTTTCGTTCTGGCTTCAGATAAAGTGTGTGTTCGAAAATATCGAAAATGACTTGGCCACTCTGAAAAATCCAACGGAGATAGAATTGTTCTCGAGACAAACTCTAGACGCCAGACGTGTGATCTCTGTGTTAATAGGTAAAGATGTTCGGCGGACAGATCGCTAGAAAATAACGATTCGATGCATCAACATTCTACCACATTCTTCGGATGCGTTAACATTCTGCTTCATTCTTCGATTCATCGACGAACGAACTTTCTCCGAGTTGCATCTCTCTGCTGCTAACAATCCGCCCCCTCGTCCACCCCCGTTAGACTTCTACGAGCATAAGATTTCAAAGATTTTCCCTCCTTCTTTCTTCATTTTTCTCTCTTTCTTTTTTTACTCGAAGCATCAAACAATCGTCTCACATTCTCACGCGAAAGAACGAAACAACATTCGCGACGAACCGATACAACATTTTCGTTCAAGATTTTCAAGCAGTATCCGAAACGATGCACAGAGTTCCTCGCGTCCTTTACGTTCAAGTCTCATTGCATTAACATTCTACAATAACGCGTTGCCGCGGAACGAAACACTTCTGCGGTAGACGATTAACCAGTTAGCTGTGGCGCCTCCATTTCAGAGCGCGCACCTATATGTGTCGCGAGAATCAAGCGACGACGAGTATACTCGTCGAACACAATGTAAGTGTCGCTGTTAAAATATTGGGTCAAAAAGACGGTTTTAATTGATAAAATTAACAATTTTATTACTAATATTTACTTATTCGCTTCACGTTAACGTATACCATATACATAATAAACGAAAAATCCAGGGATAATCAAACACTTATAAAAGTTAAAAATTCAAATTGCTGCTGTAGAGAGAGAGAGAGAGAGAGAGAGAGAGAGAGAGAGAGAGAGAGAGAGAGAGAGAGAGAGAGTGAGAGTGGTATTTAGCAAAGCAAGGAACAATATATATGCAGGGTGTCCCAGGTTTTAATGTTCAAACTTTGTCAGTATATTCTATGGCACAGAGTAAGAAAGAAATGTTATGTAAACATAGGTCATATAGAGCTTTATTAAGAAGTTATAACAAAAATCCAGAATAGGAATAGTAATCAACTAAAAAAATAAAATAAAAAATAAAATAAAATCTTCGATCCATGTCGATCATGTATTGCCAACAACGGTTATTAATACGTTTCGAAATGTATTAATAAACACAGCTTACATAAACACACGGCATGTGCTGATCTATTCAAGCCGATGCTCGCAGTAACAGCAAGTCGATTACTATTCCTATTCTGAATTTTTGTTATAACTTCTTAATNTTAACTTTAAGTCGATTACTATTCCTATTCTGAATTTTTGTTATAACTTCTTAATAAAGCTCTGTATGACCCATGTTAACATAACATTATTTTCTTACTTTGTGCCATAGAATACACTGACGAAGTTTGAACATTAAAACCTGGGACACCCTGTATATAATGGCAGTTTGCACGTCGAACACCAATACCGTGATTCTTTTCTAATTTTATTTTCATAACAATGTAAACAACTTCGTGCAGGATATTGGCCTCGAAATATTCTGAACATCTTGAAATTTGAGAATATGTTTTTGCTTTCCTTAAAATTACAATTTAGATAGCCAATGGTCGCTGCTTCTTACGCACGACGAGTATACTCGTCGTGTCGCAAAATATTGCCGTTTCTCCATGACGAGTATATACTCGTCGAACACAGCTAACTGGTTGAAAACGAATCGTTCTGCACAGTGACCGTTCGAAAATAACAAACCTTCTTGATTGATTCTAGCCTTGATGTGTGCCGGGATAACCATGATAGTTGTCACGTTACTTATCCCTACGATACTGGAATCGAAGCTGCAGATCTATTTCTTAAATTTCTTCGGATTCATGTACAAAGAGAGAAGCCAGGAAACAAATTACGTTTGCGTGCAAATTGTATTCGTCTCCACGATCGGTCTGTTGTCGTTAGCGTGCACAGAAGCGTCGCTCGCTGTCTTTTCTTGCTACTTGTGCGGATTATTCGAGATCGCCAGGTATATTGTTATCGTTTCTGCAAACGTTCTGTTAAAACTGTCTGAAGTAACCGTTACGATCTTCCGACCGTCGCTTTCTCGTGTTTCGCGTAAACTCGCGCGTGTGTTTTCTGAATCGAGGAAGGGGATACGAGATTTTGTTCGTAATAAAAGTAGTATAACAAAACGAAGTGAGAACGAAGAGATTTAGATAATCGGTAACCTCGAGTTTGTAAGTTAAGGCATTTCAATCGCGAAAGTACGGAGCTTCGACACGGTTGATCAGTTAATTATGCGAGTACAGTAATGTCTCCCTAATCGACGCTCAGATTGTCCACAAAGATGGACAATTTGGGAAGAGGTGATACGATTATTCGAGCCTTGTGGCTTGTTCTTATAGTTATCGATAATCAGTAATTATAAGAAACGAGCCACAAGGCTCGAATAATCGCGTCTCCTCTTCCCAAATTGACTATTTTAGTGCAGAATTTGGGCGACGATTAGGGATACATTACTGTATTCTAACGAAGAATCTGATGGTTGGAAAAGTACAGTAAATTCTCCGTAATTGACGCTCAAATTGTGCACAATGGTGGACAATCTGGGAAGAGGAGACACGATTATTCGAGGCTCGCGGCTCTTTTTTTTATAGTTACCGATCGTCAACAATTATAAAAACGAGCCGCACGGCTCGAACAATCGCATCTCCTCTTCTTAAACTGTCCATTTTTCTGCACAATCTAAGCGTTGTAATATTATATATAAAAACCGGTTAGGAACGCGTTTTTGTTATGGCGAGCATTTTTTAACTTGACGAATAATATATTTTCGTTCATCTAGTTACCGGATACGAATAGCCGTCAACGAGATGGCGAAATCAGCGTCAGTTACTCAATCGGCGAATTTAATAGACATACGGTCAGCTGTGGAGACGCACCAGCGAGCCATTGAGTTGGTATCTTCATTCAGTTATTAGAGCAACATTAACGATGTAGACCAAAAATCATAAATATCAGGACACTTCGTACACAAATATTGGACATTTTCCAGTGAATGTCTCTATGAATTAGTATCTTCTATGAACCCATTATTCTGTTCGACGAACTTGCACAGTTATTCTATTATATATATAGTATAATAAATAATATTATATATAATATATATATAATATATAATATATACATAATATTATATATAATATATATATATATATATAATATATAATATATACATAATAATATAATAAATTATATTATATATATATAATATAATATATGAAAATATATTATATGAAATCTATTCTTATTTATTGTTATATTAATTTATCGATGGATTCGTTATTAGATCAAATTCGTAGAGAGTTACGTTCATAGAAATTTTGTTCGACAACAACACGATATATGTATAACTATAACTCGGTATATGTAACACTTTTTATATACAGGCTGAGCCACACAAATTAGTCTCCACGATTTTTCTCAGCCCCTTCCGACGGTCTGACAACAAAATTATCGAAGTTAATTAGCATATAATAACCTTGACAAGAAAGTGCAACTGAATTTAAAAACAGATTGACTTTCGTCGAAGAAACAGGGTCGCCGTTATATTTTCAAGCGTAAATTAGGTGATTTTAATTTCATAATGTTGCGGGCGACGTCGAGACGGATTCAACGACCTGCTAAACGATGACCTTCGGATTGTAATTAACTTCGATACGAAACGTTTTTTTTTGCCAGATCAGAGACTGAAAAATCGCGGAGAACTAATTTGCGACTCGCCCTGTGTAAGATAAATGTTAATTATTACCGAGGCTAATTATCACTGAACCGTGTCGTCGTCGATCAAAATTTCTGTGAATTCGCTAGATGTCTGGATCATTATGAACAGGGGCACACATGTCATACTAGACATTCGTTATGCTACTATTGTTTTTCAACGTGTTTTACTCGTCTTACATTATTGCGACCACGAACGCAACTTTATGAACACGCAAACGAAGTCTCTCCGCATCTCTTACGAACAACATGATGTTGTCTTATTTAGTGGCGATCGTAACCGTTGTCATCTCGTTCGCTGCGAACTTATATCGCGTAAGCAGCACCGATGCATTTTTATCCTTGTCTCGATGGAAATACGTATATCAAGACTGCTTTCAATGTACCGCAGCTTTTCTTGGCGATCACGGAGTTGCACGAAATTGAGAACACGATCATCAGCGCAAAATTCGTTCTGGTACACGTGATCATCATGTTCTTAAATAACTATAGCGGCCAAAAGTTAATAAGCACCAGTATGAAACTTTTCCACGATACGTAAGTTCATTTGTTTTCTGTAAAACTACAGGAAATTCTCTCCAATTGTCCCTCGGTTTCTACAGAAAAATGGGACGATCTCGGAAGAGGACGATCAGCGATTAAAAAATCATATCTCCTTTTACCGAATTGTCCATTTCTGTTCACAAGGCTGAGGGACAATCGGAGAGAATTCGATGTACAGTAATTGGTCCCTGATTCGCGCACAGTTCCAGCACACAAAATTGGACAGTTTGGGATGAGGAGTCACGATTGTTCGAGCCTTGCGTCTCGTTTTTATAGTTGTCGACAATCGGGGGAACCGGTAAAGGCTCGAACAATCGTATCTCCTGTTCCAAAATTGTCCATCTTTGTAATTGCCGATTTGTTCAATGAAATAACAAATTTTTTTTTACTTGGGACGAAGTTTAATCTGTAATGTATTCTCCATTTTGTTCGATGACCTTTTGCCATATCTCTGACAACTTGAAAATTCCACGCTCGTAGAAAGTCTGAACCTTTTCGGGCAAAAACTGAGTTAAGTGAGATTTTACAGCGTCATCGTCGTTAAAAGTTTTACCACGAAGGGAGTTGTCCAGGAATCGAAATAAGTGGTAATCCGATGGCGCGAGATCAGGACTATACGGTGGGTGTAACATCAATTCCCAACCAATATCCATCAATTTTTGCCGAGTGGACAAAGACGCGTGCGGCCTAGCATTGTCCTGCTGGAAAATGACACCTTTACGATCGACCAATTCTGGTCGCTTTTCCTTGACCGCTGCATTCAATTTGTCCAGTTGCTAACATTCACGGATAATAAAAAATGACATAATAATGATAATAATAATAATTTTATAATATAACATTTACGGGTATCATAAAAATGGGAGTGAGAGACATCTATAACTGAAATCGGCAATTACTTAGTTGCCAACCCAATAGTTTCAACTCTCAACGTAGAAATAGCTTAGACACAATTTACACTTTTGCATTATTCAATGTGACCAGATATGATTTGTACTGGTATTGCATACCACCGAAGTCGCAGAAAATGTTACTGTTCGTATTGATGAGAAGTGCAAACGGAGCGCAATTTAACCTCGCCGGTCTATTCATTCCGTGTTACCAAGGCTTTACAACGGTAATCAATTACACGGACATTCCGCCAACAACTGTTTTCATTCTAAAATTTAACATATTTCTGTTCCAGATGATCAGCTCGTCCTTTTCTTACTTTACCGTTCTCATGTCGATCTAGTAATTAAATCGAAGAAATTGAACGTTGCAGCTGCGGTTACGACGAAACGGAAGTTTAAAGAATCGTATATTACAAATTTCCTGTTACAGTCTCGAAAATACCATCCCAATGAAATCTGTTGTATTTTCGTTTATTGTTTCGTACAAGTGTACGGTTGTAACATCCTATTAAAGTATAATATCTCTCGTTATTTCTCATTTTTGTTACATTTACCGCATTGCCATCTTAAAATGTGTATAATACGTATTTATGTATATGCGTCCATGTACACTAATTTCTCCCTAATTCGCGCTCAGATTGCGCACGAGAATGGAAATAATCGTACTACGTTTTATAGTTGTTGACAATCGGTAACTACAAAAATGAGTCGCAAGGGTTAGATAATTGTATCTCCTCTTCCGAAATTGTTCAGTCTCGTTTACAAGATTGTAACGTAAATTTCTTCTTATTCCTAGTAATTGCAAAGTTAAAGAAAAGCTTTCTAGCCATCGTCTAGCCCCTTCGTCATCTAGAAAAAGATTCAAGTCGATTCGTCCAGTTTACAAAAGGTTATCTTGTTTTAAAAGGTGCACGAACTCTTTTGCGGGCCACTGTACGCATTTCTATGTATACTCCACGAGAAACCCGGCGGTGGCTGGCAGCCTTTCAATCACTATCTTTATAACTCTGAACTACTTGACAAACCTCACGATACGTGGTCACACATCCTCGGATCACTCTTGTTCTTCCCAGCGTTGTTCAACGATCGTCGGTAACCGATCACTTCCATCTCCAACCATCCACATGTGACGAGCAATAGGTGAAGTCGTTTACCAGGGTGCGACTCTGTCCAAATTTTTACGACGTTTGCTTGGTCGTTGACACTGGCCGCAATCTCATTGCACGTGCACGGCGAAACAGGCGCAGCACCTAGGATTGGTTCAAAAAATTGTCTTCGCGTGATTATAAAGAATGACGGACTCGTTAAGTAAAAGATNATCGTGGTACCGCGTACCATTGAAGTCGCAAAAGTTATTACTATTCATATTGACGAGGAGTTCGGTGGAGCTGCAATTTAGTCTTGCTGGTTTATTCGTTCCGTGTTACGAAGGCTTTTCAATGGTAATTCAACTGTTCGCTTTCTTTTTTTTTTTTTGATCATATATAAACTCTGATCTCTTTATTCCCAGATTCAAATGGTTCTCTGTTCCAGATGGTGAGCTCGTCTTTTTCATACTTTACCATGATTATATCGGTTTAGTGACGAGAAATATTGGACGTCGTTAGAAAGACAGAGTATGTACGATGTGTGTGGAAAATCGTGTGTCACGGTTTATCTTTACAATTTTGTTTTCTCTGCACCGTTTACCTAAAATCGTCTAAAATCGCCGTCTGTCTCATGTGCACAGAGGCCCGCAAATGTCTTCGTACACCTTCTAAGCTATTTTAAAATTGAACTAAGTGACTTGAATTTGTTTTGTTTTTTTCTTCAGACGATAGAGAAGATGACTGAAATGCTTTTCTTTTGAATTTCGCTGTTACTTGGAGCGACAAAAGAAAGCTCTGTCATCTCAAAGAAATTTCAACTATTTCGTCGAGTTTTCAAAAAGTAATTGCGTATTTAAAAGGTGTACGAACACTTTTGTGCGCCACTTTATGGTACAGTAATTTATCCCTAATTCGCGCTAAGACCGCGTACAAAATTGGACGATTTGGGAAGAGGAGAAACAATCGAATCTCCGCGAATCAGCGTGTTATGTCAAGGTTATATTATATTACATAATCTTGACATGTCTTTGACATAACCTTGTCAAGGTACACGCTGATTCGCGCTCGGATTGCGCAGAGTCAGAGCATATGTGAAGGTTATGTCAAGATTATGTGAAGGTTATGTCAAGGTTACGTCAAGGTTACGTCAAGGTTATGTCAAGGTTATATTATAATATAATATTATATAACCTTGACATAACCTTGGCATAACCTCCGGGTGTCAGGCCCAAGCAATACGCAGCTAGGTATTTTCGTAGGCGTGGAGTTCGCTTCGGCTGGAATAAGGAACTAGTCGGAAGGTCTGACGCGACCGAAGCTATCAGAATAATCGTTTGTTCCAGGCGTTGGACGCGTAATAGGTATCGCACGTCCAACTAGAAACACGAAAGCGGAGTTTGGCAAAGTGGACCTTCGAGACGCACCCGAAAGTAGAATGGCACCAACGACAATTCATACGTAGGGGGAAACGAGGGATGTACAAGTAGCGAGGTTATGCTAGGTCGAATAATCCATCTGTACGGACTTGGCAATAAGATCTCTAATAAAGGAACTGATTAAATAACGTAATTGATATCTGCCGATAATTTCATAAGGAGTTCGTTGATATAGCAACTGCTTCGACTTTTTTTTTAAATTTTGCTATTGCTTGGAGTGACAACAAATGCTCCTGATAAAAAAATCTCTTTCTTTTAACTTTTTTATCCGAGCTTGTAAGGCAAATTTCTTGTCGCTCCTAGTAATATTAAAGTTAAAAAAAAAGCTCTTTAGTCATCTACTAGTAGACTAGTCCCTTTGTCATCTATAAAAAGATTCAAGTCGTTTCGTCCAGTTTACAAAAAGTTATCGCGTTTTAAAAGGTGCACGAACTCTTTTATGGGCCATTGTACGTATTTCTATGTATACGCCACGAGAAGCCCGGCGGTCTCTGGCAGCCTTTCAATCACTATCTTTATAACTCTGAACTACTTGACAAACCTCACGATACGTGGTCACACATCCTCGGATCACTCTTGTTCTTCCCAGCGTTGTTCAACGATCGTCGGTAACCGATCACTTCCATCTCCAACCATCCACATGTGACGAGCAATAGGTGAAGTCGTTTACCAGGGTGCGACTCTGTCCAAATTTTTACGACGTTTGCTTGGTCGTTGACACTGGCCGCAATCTCATTGCACGTGCACGGCGAAACAGGCGCAGCACCTAAGATTCGTTCAAAAAATTGTCTTCGTGTGATTATAAAGAACGACGGACGTCGCTTGTCAAGTAAAAGAAAGAATGGTAAACGAAATTCCATTGATTTAGGTACCGCCTAATTAAGCCAGAAAATAGCCGCATCGTCATTTGTACATACGTAGCGACTACGTTCTTTTACCGTAACCCCGCACACTTCGAAGCCAATTCCGAGCCACGAATGTCAATATTTTTATCGCATTTTTCATTTCGCTCGTGCTGGAATCAGTCATAATGATTCAAGAATTTATTAGAAAAGCTGGAAAGTGGCTGGGAACTGACACGTGTTCGCGGCCTATATAACTGATTATAATTGCAGAGAAAAAATGAATGCAGGAGGTGACACAGTACATTATTCATGCTTTCCATTATGATGTTTTATTATTTTTTCATCTACCTGAAATGTGTCAACCGTATCTCAGACGATTTCAAACGGAGATATTGAATTGGCTCCTACAAACTATAGAATCGGCAGGATTTTGCAACGGAAGGCATGAATAAAGCATAGCGTCGAGGTGTAGTTGGACGATGGGTTAGATATTTCGTTCATACACATTTTGCATATACTTCAACATGGACGTGTTCCAGAAGAAGTATAGTACCTATTATAATGTGATGTGCTTCACCGGGCTGTGGCCCTATGACCACTCTCTAATAACGAAAGGTCAGAGAGTCGTTTTCTGTCTGCTTATTCTCTTCTGCATTGTGAGTCAGGTGAGGAAGACACGAGTCCCACCGGAATATTTTTTAAACCGAGAAGAGAGACGATCCACAGTGATAAAATGAAAAGTGACTACGTGACGTATCTGAAGTTTTTATAATTCTCGTCGAATCTACTTTATATTATTATTAGTATGTATACGAATGATAGTAACTTTCGACTATTCCACTGATTTAGATCTGAAATTAATCCAGTTAGATTTTCATGGAAATTTCGAATATTAAATCGGTGATTCAACGATGAATATTACACGAAATATTACATGAATATTACAGCAATTGCAATTTATCGTTTTATATGCTCTATTGCGATACGTTTATTGAATTTATTCTCTCTCAACAGGTTGATACATTTATTATTAATTTTCACATTTTAAAACTGAATTTTGTTAACGTATTGCTGACAGCTTTCCGATTAAAACGAG